GCCCCCCCCCCCCGGTGCCCCTCCTGACCCCATGCCCCTCTGGCACCCCCCGTGTCATTAAGCTGGTGGTGTTGGTTGTGTGTGTGTGCAGAGCCCGGGAGACAGTACAGTGAAGAGGCAATGAGCACCAGGGAGCCGTTATACCATGAGCTTGGCACTGCCTTCATCCAGAAACAGCAGCTGAACGCAGCGCTGGCCAACAGCTTCCTCGAGCACCTCTGTCTGCTCGATATCGACTCAGAGCCCATCGTCGCTCGCAACACCAGCATCATCTGCACCATCGGTAGGTTTTCGAGGAGAGCCGGTGGGGGTGGGGGCATCGGGGAGAACTGCGCCATCAGGCTCACACACTGGGCATTGGGCAATGGCATAAAGACATCCCTCACCATCCTCAGGCTGTACCTCTACTGCCCCTCACTGCAGAGTGTGTACTGCCCCTCACTGGGGCATCTGTAATGGGAATCCGTGCCCGGTCCGTGCCGAGTGTAATTACAGTCCGTGCCCGGTCCGTGCCGAGTGTAATTACAGTCCGTGCCCGGTCCGTGCCAAGTGTAATTACAGTCCATGCCGAGTGTAATTACAGTCCATGCCGAGTGTAATTACAGTCCGAGCCAAGTGTAATTACAGTCCGTGCCTGGTCTGTGCCAAGTGTAATTACAGTCTGTGCCCGGTCCATGCCGAGTGTAATTACAGTCCATGCCCGGTCCGTGCCAAGTGTAATTACAGTCCATGCCCAAGTCCGTGCCGAGTATAATTACAGTCCGTGCCGAGTGTAATTACGGTCCGTGCCTGGTCCGTGTCGGGTGTAATTACAGCCCGTGCCTAGTCCATGTCGAGTGTAATTACGGTCTCTGCCTGGTCCGTGTCAAGTGTAAGTACAGTCTGTGCTGAGTGTAATTACAGTCTGTGCCCGGTCCGTGCCAAGTGTGATTACAGTCTGTGCCCAGTCCATGCCGAGTGTGATTACAGTCCATGCCTGGTCCATGCCGAATGTAATTACAGTCCGTGCCCGGTCTGTGCCGAGTGTAATTACAGTCCGTGCCCGGTCCGTGCCGAGTGTAATTACAGTCCGTGTCGAGTGTAAATACAAACCGTGCCGAGTGTAATTACAAACCGTGCCGAGTGTAATTACAAACCGTGCCGAGTGTAAATACAAACCGTGCCGAGTGTAATTACAAACCGTGCCGA